TTTTAAACACACTCGGGTAGAGGTTAGACCAGGGTTACCCAAACTGGTCAGTATCAATATCCCCAGGTCAATGGGTCTATCCAGAAAGTCAATAGATGTCTGCAGATCAATAAGTGGTTGATAAATAATAGATGCTTTATAGGGTTCAATTAATCTTTGAGGTCTCTGTAAAGCTGCACACCAGTTCCTAGTCCTGAAGATGAGGTGGTCAGAAGCAACACAGTTTTGATTGGTCAGTCAGTAGTGGAAGCAGCCTTGAGTTGTCCCTGTTATGAAGTTTTGAGGTTGATGAACAATTGGTAACTTCATTGAGGAGTTAATGAGCTGAAGAATTTGGGGACGCCTGTGCTAAACAAAGGAAATACTAAAGAGCAGGGGCTGTTATAAAGAACACACATTATAGATCCTTAGCATGACACTACAAGTAGTCCTCAAGTTACAATGGCAATTTGGGACTGGAATTTCCATCTCTAAGTGATGTAGTCGCAAAGCACAACATTAGATGACTGTATCGCTTAGTGACAGCAATTCCTGCAGTATATTTTGCCATTGTTAAGAGAAGACGATGGATTGTTAAGTAAACACCTTGCAACATACTGCTGGCTTTTAACAACCAAAGTCAGTGGGAACATTGGCAGGAAATGTTAAATCCCAGGTGGCTCACAAGCAAGCCTGAAGGCAGGTAAGTGGCTGCTGCCAGGTGGGAAAGGATGCACAAGTATCAGGAAAGACGTGGCATAAGTATGGCAGGACTTGAGACAATTGCTACCAGATGAGAGAGGAACTTTTTGGGTGCTTGAGTGTTGGAGAGACACAGTGCAAGTACAGTGGGGTTTGGGGTGGCAGCTGCCATGTGGGGGAGGATGCCCAAATGGTCAAGGAGGTCTGATGCAAGCACAGTGAGGCCTGTGGAGTGTGCACAGACAAGGGAGAGCACTTTGTGACCTTCGCTGCTAGCTTCTCTATTGACTTTGCTTGTATGAAGCCAGCAAGGAAGGTTGCAAATCATGATCCTGTGTTCACAGGACACTACAATGTTGCAAGTACAAGCTGGTTGGCAAGCATCAAGATCAGGAACACAAGAACTTTACGACAGATGGACGTTTGAGAACTAGCCGCAGACACCACTCTTTCAGTGCCAGCATAACTTTAGACAGTTGCTGAATGAGTGGTCATTAATTGAGGACTATCTATCTCATGCTGCCAAAGTCAGAGATGGAAAGTTTTTAAACAACTATTCTAATCTTAATAAACCTGATATTATTAACCTTTATGCCAGAGATTTCAAACTTAATTTCATTGAGGGCTGCATCAGTTATGTTTGACCTTGGGAGGGCTGGGGGCATGGTCAGGGGATATGGCCAGTTGGACATCACTCGTGTTGGGGCCCCGAGTACTCTGCCAGCGAAAACAAGCCCCCGAGCTCCATTTCGCCTATGATGCCTGGAACCCTCTGCCAGTGAAAACGGGGTCCCGAGAGCCGTTTTCCCCTGCGACAACCTCCTGCAACCCTCTGCCAGTAAAAACAGAGTTCGGGAGGGCCATGCACGGCCCTCCCGAGCTGCGTTATTGCTGGCAGAGGCACTGCGGGCCAATCCTTCACTGTTTCCAGGGCAACCTATTGGCCAGATCTAAGCACTTGGTGGATCACATCCGACCCGCAGCCCTTGAATTTGACACCCCTGCTTTATGCCAGCAAAAGAAAAGGCTTTCTAAAACTTCTGTTTTTAAGTGAGCATGAGGGAATGCTATGCAACTGATAACCACATACAGATAGATCTTGACTTATGACTATAATTGAGCCCTTACAATGGATTGTTGTCCCAGTCATTAACTGGATCACTATGTGACCATGCCTGTTTTTGCTACCTTTTTTGTGGCAGTCCCAATAAACCCATTTTAGGCAAAGAGCGTGTTTGCTTGAAACTGGAAGTAAATCCATTTCCAGCAATAAATGAATTAAAACATAAATTGCAGTCATGTGATGCTGGGATGCTGCAAATACTTGGAAATGTGGATTGATTGCCAAGTGCCCAAAATGCGATTATGTCACTGCTGGAGAGTGTATGTGTGGCTTCAGAGATTTGAAACCAGGTTGTAAGTAGTAATGGAGAGGTCTGTCATAACTTTGAATGCTAAGATAGTTCTCAACTTACGTTTGGTTGTTCATTCAAAGTTACGATGGCCTTGGAAAAAGTGCATTACAGCCTTCTGGGACTCGTAAAACATTGTTTCCCCCATGATCATATTGCCACATTTTTTGGACACTTGGCAATCAGCTTGCATTTATGAATCACTGCAGCATCTTGAAGTCACATGACTGTAATTTGTGACTTTTTTGCCAGTTTCCAGTAAACAAAATGAATTTGCCTAATGACTAATTCACTATAAAAATGGTTAAAAAAAAAACAGGTGCTTTACTTACAATGGCAATAATGTACGATTGAAATTCCAGTCCCAATTGTGCTTTTAAGTCAAGTACTACCAATAAGTACTAATTTTAAATTTTAAACTAGGCAAAACTAGAAAGATAAATTTAGAGGTCATATTTTTAATGTCTAAAACAATAAAGTTATCTGTATAGCAGCAATCAGTTGGAAAAAGAATCTACATTACCTCTAAAAAACAAACTGCCAACTTTTATGCATCTTATTAAGGGATTTTTTTTCAGCGAAAACTTCTGGTAATAAATTTATTAGATCAAAAGCCACCACATATTACATTATTTAAATTTACATCTAAATTAATAGGAACATGCATATTATAATCAAGATGCGATTACCTTCAGTAGTTTTACGGATCAGTGTATAATCAAGATGCAATTACCTTCAGTAGTTTACGTGGATCAACTCTAAGATGGCTTCTCTTTAGAACTTTTAAAAACATCCTAAACCTATAGATTTTCTTATGGAACAAACAAATGCATTCACTATATGCAAACTTGAGGAAATGAACATTAACTGCTGCCACTAATAAAAGTAAAGTCTTTCCTCAGTCAGACCTTTTAGAAAAGAAATGTATCTCAATAAAAATTATCTATGATTCACCAATAAATATGGTTATTTAGCATCCACATACTGTTCTTCAATTTTAATGTGTAGCTGTGTATTTAAGTGAGGAAAATAGCTAAGATGATGCTCGAGTATTTATATTAAAAACTCTATGCATAAAGCAATTTTTGACTGAGTCTATATAAATGTCCTACAGTAAGATTATATGATACTTTGGATTCAAAAGCAAAAAATCCTTAAGAGCATGCATGGGCATAGACATCCGGTAGCACTGTATGTGTGTGCTATGTAACTTTGTGAACCAAAGATGTCTTTTCTTTAGTCTATGGAACAACTGCAGGGGACAACCATATAATCATAAGAAAAGGCATAGCTATTTTAAGGAGATACAGGTAGGTGCTATATTTATGCCCTATACAAACCCAGGGGCTCCTCTTTGCCTTTGAACTGGAAGTGCTGCACAATCCGCCAATGTTTACTTTCATATTCAGCTGAAAATCCCCAGCACTAAGAGAAACTGCAGCAGTTACTAGCAAATGATACTACCAACCTATACTTGTAATTTGAGATCTTTGGAATATTTTGATAAACTAAAGTATGCAAAGCAAAGCTAGATGAATAATTTTAATAGGTTTGATTCAATTGAATTCCTTTTAGGAATCTGAAGTATCTATACAGAACTTTCTGCATCCTCAGCATTAATAGGGGTATGTAGTAAAACTGGAGAATACAATTTTCATTCAAAACTCATGATTTAATCTTACAGAATGGTTAGAGAAACTGCCTAAGTCACAATATGTTTTTTTTAAAAATAAGGTTTTCATAAACCAATAACCTATTTCCAGCTATGAAAACTTTTAGAACTCTCAAAGAACCAGCATTGAAGTCTAGCACTGAAATAAAACAAAAACTGTTTCACACATTTCTAGAATTCCAGAAATCACTACCACTTCTTTCACAGAGAAATTTATTTCCTCCAAACATCAGAAACTAACAGTAGGGCCACAGCCATTAATCTGTATACATGGATCAACTACTAGATGTCCATTTGGGACACAGAGTAGCAGTTAAATGTATATAACAAATATGAACAAAGAAATCAGCCACAAAGGACGATATATATTTAAGAAAACTAGTATGAACAAGCAGTATCAACACTAGGGGGTGTGGGAGAAATAGAAAACCTTGGATGATGTTGAGGTCACTCCCAGGAATGAATGTGGAATTGGTTAGGTATAGTGGTATAAAGCCATACTCCACTAACAACATGAAAGAAATGGAGTATGCAGTACTGATATTAGTGGAAGGACCAAAGGGTGTTTGGATCACTGTGCTACAGTTAGCATAATGAATTTAAAACATTCTTTCTTTCCTTTTTAAAAGGCTAGGGCTGTTTGAATAAGCACAGCCCACTGTGCAACTGGAATGACAGCTAACCCTTTTTTTTCCCTTATGGAAGGCAGAGATTGCAAAATATCAACCCAATATAAAAGTAAAAAGAAAATTCATAAAGTCAGCCGCTACATTACCAAGAAACATAGATTATTCCAGAATGGATCGTACTCTGAAAAATGCTAGGTGAAAAATATTAGGTGAAAGGATTATCCTACATTTAAAACTGAAAAGTATAATGAGACAGAGAACAGGAACAAAGGATGCCAAGACAAGATATTTGGGGTGGGGTTACCTCATAAAATAAACTTCCTCAATCTAACAACCCCAAACTCGTATCATCTTTTGCTCTTATCGGCACTGGAAGAATAATTTCTCGGGGGAAGGGGGAGAAGAGAATGGAACCGACATTTCTAGAGGAGGACAGGAAAAAGGAAAAAAAAACGAAAGAGAAAAAGCCCGAGATGAAGGAGAAAATACAAATATTACATAGGAAGAGCACAAAAGAGGCTCTCTGGAGGAACGTCGGAGCATTAAATAAAAAAAAGGAAAAAAAAGCCGCGGGCGCAATACTTGGCACTCCCAAGTCTCGCTCACCGATGGTTGAGATGAACGTGGTGTTAAAAGCATCATCGGAGAACCGGAAAAGCACGCAGGTCTTGCCAACGCCCGAGTCGCCGATCAGCAGCAGCTTGAAGAGCAGGTCGTAGGTTTTCTTCGCCATGGGGGCCCCCCCGCGCCGCGCGCCACTTCCTCGCCAGGCTCTGCCTCAGCAGGCGCCGCCGCCGCCGCCCTGGGCCCTCCGAGACCCCTCCGTACTACAACGCACAAGGCCGGGCTCCGCGGCGGTGGCGAAGGAGGAGGCGGCGGCAAGCTGAGGGAGGAAAGGGGAGGCACAAAATGGCTGCCTTGGTGACAGCGGCCGGGCCGGGCAGAGCAGGCAGCAGCTGTAGGGACTTCGGCTCCCGGGCACAACTACCTCACGGGTGAACAGCGACGGCGGCGCTCGACTTCATGCCCCTCGGTTCCCCTCCTCAGGCGACCGCTCCTTTCGGTTCCCTTAGTCAGTCACGCTCCGAACCGGAGCAGGCCGTACGCACGCACAGCCGGCCGCGGGACTCAGTGGACGGGTGGGGCGGGGTTACGCTCACGCAAAGGATGAGGAAGGGCGCGGGGGCGCGCACGCTGATTTGGCGGCCGCTCCCTTGTCTTGCAGACAAGAAGTTGCTCCCTGACGTCAAAGGATGTGAATGGACCGAGGGCCAACCCTTACGCATGCGCAGCTGGATTGAAGAGTTGCTACACACCCTAAGAGGCCGTTTCTACGCCTGCGCGAGTCGGAACGCTTGCTCCACGCACGAAGCTGCGACGTCTCCAATCGTCGTAGAAGCGACGTGACGCAAAAGCCCAGGGAGCTTAGAAAAAAAGGAAGAGGTGTTTTTTTTTGTCGTCGTTGTTGTTGCGCTCCCAAAATGAAGGTTTCGAGGAAGGCGGGATTTGGACTCTTGGAACTCTTCCCTCGTCCATGATTGGTGGAAGAGTGGATGGGAAAGGCGGGGTCATAGCGTTGAATGGGAGCGGTTCGGTATGGAGTGTGCGCAGAGAGCAGGATTGTGACATGTGCGATCCATGCCCTGCCCTTCCCCTCCCCCCCTTCTTTGGCCCAGGTAGTGCTTAGAATCCGAGAAGACTCTTAACCTGACCTGAGTTTAAGGAATGACTTCCATTTTCCCTCAGTAGGTTTTCACTTTAGTCTGCCTGGGCTTGCCCCTCCTGCCAAGGCACACGCTATTCAAATCTACTTATTTCATGTTTATATTGACCACCCCAAACTATATGCACTCTGAGGCATACAATATTTCAAGGTGTTGTGGGAAGTTATCATCCAGCCCTCTCCCAGAAAAATGAAATATCCTAGGAAATATTGAAAAGGCAGAATATTTCTCTGGATGTGAAAAGAA